AAATAATGCCTCGACGTTATATTCAAAAAAATTATAGTAACTTCGATAAGGCCTTGAAATTCCGAAAAAACAACAAATAATTTTTTTTTGTAAACATAATATGTTCAATTGTGTTGCTAGGATTGCAATGTGACCAACGTTTAGCGGGAGGTCACTTCAGAATTCCTTATAAACTAAAAAAAAAAAATAAAGAAAAAAAATCAAGCAAAAATATACCCCTTCGAAGTTTTTCAAAACATATGTATAGCATTGGATACCCCCTTCCCAGCCCTTTAAAACTCATATATACTTCCTCTTCAAGGCACTCTGCCCATGAAAAATTCAAATATATCGCCCGAGCATTTTATTCGAATATAACGACCGAATGTTCTATTTGAAGGGTCGTTTTATTTGAAAAAACCTTTAAAAACGTAAGTAAGGGGTAAGTTTAATATAACGTCAGGGCGTTATTTTCGAGTGAAGACGGTAACGTCTGGGCATTATTTTCGGGTGAAGACGGTAACTTCCTTTTTCACAAGGCTAATAACTTCTTTCTTGTTAACACACTCCGAAAAAGTAAATTTGATCGTGATCGTTGTCAAACAATTAACATCGTATTGTGCTTTAATAACTTGCTTGACCACGCCCTTGAGAATGAACCTAGTTCTGTGGTGTCGCACAGGTTGGTGTGCGAGTGGTGTCGCACATGTTGCTGACAAGCGAGGCGCTGGCTGGTCGGAGGTTGCAAGGCGCTGGCTACTCGCAGGTGGCGAGACGCTGGCTTCACGCCAGGGGCGAGATGTTGGTTGCGTGGGGAAGCGAGGCACTGAATACTGGCAGGGAGCGAGCCACTGGCAGACCATGGAGAGCGTGACACTAACAACGTCAGGGTGGCGAGGCACTGACTCTGGTGGGACACTGCTTTACACACGATGTGACGCTGATTTTTGTCGGGCATGGGTGCTATGATGGGGTATATTAAATTGGTGATTGAGCTTGACACAAGCGCGGTATCCAGAGGCACTTGGCCAATGCCACGTCACAGGTTGACATGGCATTTGGACGGAAGCACAGAGGATTCAAGAAAATGGTGGTCGCGACTACTGTTTGAACTATCTCCCTTTGCTTTTCATATGAAGTACTTCATAGCCAAGACCTTATACAAGGCGAGAGGGCCCATGCGAGTTGGCTTAAGCCGTTGTCGGTGGAAGAAAGTGGAGTGAGCCCCGTGGAGTCCAACGTGTGGAGAACGCTGGTAACACCTGAAGAATCATCACAATGCTGCTGGGAGGTCATCAATCCGACCTACAACACCATACCCGCTTAATTTAAGAATTTATGGATCCGGTTAAGAAAGCACTATCACCAGAACGATGGAGTTCTTTGGAAGTCCCGATATAAAAAAACAAGATATGGACCGCCCTCATGCAGATGACGGAGGAAAAGGCCCCCGAGATAGATGACTTCCCTAAGGAATTTTGGGAAACCACATGGGACTTCACGAATTAGAACATCATGGAATTTTATAACGAAGTATGGCTTACGGGAGAAATGGGAGAGAGGGTGGGGCAAGGGATCCTAACCCTTCTCTACAAAAAGGGAGATAAAATGGACATCAGAAATTACAGACCAATAACACTTCTTACAGTCGTCTATAAAATGTTGTCCAAGGCCTTGGCCAACCGAATGATTCCAATAATGAAGGATATTATTCACCCCGCTTAAACCGGTTTCATGGAAAACAGAAACATACATGAAAACATCCTGTTGATCTAGAAAATCCTCCAACTCACTAGGCACTCTCGCCAGAACGCGACTCTGATCTTCATTGATTTTGAAAAAGCCTATGACCACGTGGACTGATTCTTTTTCGATAAGTGCCTAGAAAAAATGAACTTCGGGCCAGACTTCAGACGATGGATACAAATCTTACATCAGAACCCTACTACAAGTGTTCAGGTCAATGAAAGTTTGACGCCACCACTTCGCCTAGAACGCTCGGTCTGCCAAGGGGACCCCATTGCTCCCTTTCCTTTCCTGGTCATCATGGAGGATCTAGCCGCCAACCTTTGGGCAAACAAAGACATTACGAAGATTCGGATTACACACATTCCCGAGGAAGCAATCTCGATATGTTTCCTGTTTGCGGATGACCTCACGATCATGGCAGAAGCCACACACCACAATATGGAGGAAATCCGCCTCATGATGGATAAATTCTCTAAAGTTTCAGACATGTCCATCAACTGGGGATCTAAGACACAAGGGTGGTGGATCCACTACCAAGGAGGACGTCCTCCAGAGGTCCCACGTATTGCCTGGAAGCCTTTGGAAACCCCAATAAGAGTGTTTGGGGTCTCCATGACTGCAGAGGGACGACCACCAATCAACGATGAGTGGATTAGTTCCCCGGCTCAGCATAAACTGGACATTTGGAGAAACAAACACACATCCCTTTTCGGTTGGGCCTTAGTCCTTAACAATGTAGTTTTTGCATCACTGTGGTATAAATCGCTGTTGTGGCCCTTAAGTAAAGAGGCTCTAAGAAGTCTTAAACAAAAGGCAGCAACTTTCCTATGGAGGGGGGATGGGGACCAACCCAATGTGATCAGCAGGGTGGCATGGGACTCCATCATCCAACCAAAAGCTGGGGGAGGACAAGGAATCCTTGATCCAACCACGCAGGTGCAGGCACTACGAGTCAAATGGATTAAGAAACCCATTTTTGACCCGCAGTGCCCCTGGTGTGTCCTGGCTCTGGAACACCTGGCTAGGCTGGCCCCAAAGACTCCCCATACGATCCACCCGCTCAGTTGGTTGGAGGATCGTTTCTGAAAAATCCCACGCACACTCCCAAATAAAGGGCCAGAGGAAGGGAGTCAACCGCTGGACACCTTTTGGCCTTCCCTGCTACAAACCTGGCGCAAACTCCCACTCCCAGACAGGACCCGACCCGACCGATGGAAGGAGGTCTATCGACAGCCTCTTTTTGGCAATAGATGGGTGACAGACACGAGGGGCCGTGTGATGATCAGCTCAGCCCCCCCCTGGAGGAACTGGGTTAAACACATGATACTTCGAGTAGGGGACCTCTGGGACAATGAAAGCATGATTGGATGATAGGGGACCAGCTGCGAACAACCCTGTGGTATTACCACCATGTAGAGGACTCATTGCAGGATCTTATTGAAGCCATTCCATTGGAATGGTATCGGATCCTTAGACGAGGCCCCACCTTGAGAGAGGGGGACTGGGTAACAACCAAAGGGTCCCCACAACAGATTGGTTTGGTACATATGATTTCCCCCCAGACGGTCCTGATTGAGAACTACATGATCACAAAATTCAATACTCTCCAAGGGTGTGAGGTGCCCTTCGAATGGAGAAACAGAACATCAGTTTATCAAGTGAGGATTATTGAGGAGAAGGGACAAAGGGTGGCTTTCCAACCAGACAAACCGATTCAGGACCTGGCCCTGGATCCGGTAGAATGGGTCGGGCAGCCCCCTCAAAAGAAGGACACCCCTAAACCAAATCCCATCGGCCTACGCTTACGAACAGTCAAATCAGCATACAAACTGCTCCGACCCAAGACACATTTGAGAGATATAATTAACGATAAATAGGCCAGACAACTGAACATCGATCGCTCCCTCTTGTTACCAATCCAATGGTTCAAGGAGCAAAAACATAGGCCCATGAAGATCACCTCCATGCAGTGGCAGATTGCCCACCGCTGCCTGCCAACTAATGACTGGCTAACCGACCGTACGAACCTCGAACAAAGAGGCATGTTGCTCCCATGGTGCCAGCGTTGTCAGAGCCTCTTCCCCTTCCACAAAAAGGCGGAGACTATTGAACACATCTTTATGCGGTGCCCGGTCGCTCAATACATATGGAGGTGGTGGGATCGTATCTGGCGGAAAATGGAACCAGATACTCCCTGGCCTTGGTCATGGCTAGCCATATTGGCTGGACATTGCCCTCTGGCAGGGATAGCCACACCCTTTATAGAAAACATGTACAGAATTGGGAGGGTGGTGATGTGGGCACTCTGGTGGCAGAGGTGCACCCTGGCCATGGAAAAGGTACGGGTAGAAGGTGCAGAGATCACAAAACAAATACAGCAGCAAATACACCTTGACCTCACACGTAAATGGCTAGACACAAAATCACAGCTAGACCTCCTTCTACAGACTGGGGACGTCGGGAGAAGGATTGCAGTTTTTTGCAGAGATTGAGTAGGGGGGGAAAGAGAAGCCTAAGGGTCTCGTTAGACACTCCTAAAAGTTCCAATTTTTAGGATTGCGTCTTGGTTGCACGCAATCCTAAATCGGACGCGGGAATCAAAAATGTGAAAACGGCGTTAGGACTCATCCTAAAAGATTTAGGATTCCCCAGCCAAATCGTCCTAAATTTTCCAGTAGCCCCGGACCTACTGAAAAATTTAGGATTTCCGCATTTCACGAAGTCGTCGCGTCGCGAGAATGGCACCGTCGACACGGAGGTGGTGGTTTAGGAGAGGTCCGTCGGGTCGGTGGGCGGACATCGGAGGTTTTCTGCCGGTTGACGACGGCAACGGCCCCCACGGGTGGTCGTTGGCCGGTGGGGTGGAGCACGGTGGGCGAAGCGTGGCCTGGCTCGCGGGCGTTGAGGACCATTGGCTCGGGTGCGGGCAACGGAGGAGTCCCCAGACGTGCGCACGACGACACACGGAGACTATCGTGGGCGCCAACAATCACTTTTTTGAATCGCAGGCGGCATCGTTTGTCGTCTTCGCTGGCGGTCGACAGCATATGAAGGTCCAACGTCCTTGTCCGCGGGCTTGTGAGGAGAAAGTTCAGCACGACGTCATGTGCAAGGTCGCCTGTCGACGTCGAATTCATGGCAGACATGCAGAGGAGATTGCCTCTGCTGCTTCTCGTTGTCGTCGTCTTCCTGTTTGTCGTCTTCCTCCACGTGTGCTTGTCGTGTCGGCCGTGGAAGCAACGTCGCAAGCGTAGGGCGTCAACGAAACGCGGTGCGCAGGTACACGCTGTTCCACCATGGCGGGCATGCAGGTACGCGTTGTTCCGCCTGCGGCTGAGGGCGGAAGAAGACCTCCGACGATGGACCCTTCAAGGCGGTACGACCCCTCCATGTACAACCATCTGCCGTCGTGGGAGATGCCGCTGCCTCCCTCGGATGAGGACCCGGAGGGGGATGAACTTCCAACGTTTCCTCTCGCCAGCGGGTCGACGCAGCTAATGTCGCAGACGGTGCTCGCAAGCGGGTCGGCAAGCAACGGACGCGGCGAGTACACGACACTCCTGCAGCAGGGATTGGGAGACGGTGACGACGGGGGAGTTGATCTCCGGTTCGGGTTGTCTTCTGGCGGCGGTAGGGAGGCGAGCCGCACGTTCATCATCGACGCCGATCCTTCACCGCGTGGCGTTCAACAATCTGGAAGTCGGCATACAGAGCAGTCCACACTTCGTGGCGGTACGTCCGTTTGTGTCGGTGTGAGGCCATCGTCAGCAGGCCGGCAGCATGGATCGAGTGCACCGTCCGCCGATCGATTGACAAGCACCTGTCCCGAACGCAATGGAGTCGCAGTAGGGTCCCTGCGCATCGGCGATACACTTCATTCGATGCCCAAAAGCACAACGCCGACCCAACCCGACCTCAGGGACGACGGCACGTGCAGACCAGCGGTGCGTCAAACACCCTGTGTGGAGAACATCACACGAGGAGTGTCGAACATGCGGGCACACAACGATGGTGGCGACGACGATGGTGGTGGCGGTGACGATGCAGACGGGCGATTCGGGGAAGACATGGAGGCAGGGGACGACGACGACGACATTCCTATTCGGTCTTTCGGGAATACGGACGGGAGGGGGAGAGGACGCAGCAGGGGTGCTGTTTGTGGTCGATCCGTTGGCCGTGGGGGCAAAGGTGGCGTCAGCAATGACGGGGGGAAGTCTGTGACGTACTGGTCCCCGGAAGAGCAAATCCAACTGGTGAGATGCAAGCGGGAGCAAGAGATGCACCTCGCCGGTCTCGGTCACAATTACGGGCGGATGCGGACCAAGGAGTGGAAGTGGGAAGATATTGCCAAGCGCATGGCGAACGCGGGGAGGCCGAAAGACGCGGACGACTGCATGAAGAAGTGGGACAATATCTTCCAAAACTACAAGAAGATACAGAGGTTTCAGAATGCGAGTGGCCGACCAGATTTCTTCCGGCTATCGAATGAAGAAAGAAAGGAGCACAACTTCAAGTTCCGGATGGAGAGGGCGCTAAACAACGAGATCCACATAGGCATGGTTGGCAACCACACAATTTTCCCTCCCAACATCGCCGACACTGGAAGTCCGGACGGGGTGCATCTGCCCAGGCGAGGAGCGGGTGCTGGGGAGTCTGTTGGTAGTGAGGGTGCTGGTGAAGGCCTCCCTGAAGAACGTTCTACTACGAGGGACTCCGACAGCAACGCTGCCAGCGCGGCTGGAGGGGGTAAGCGGAAGAATGTGCGTCAACAGGCGTTGGAGTCGATTGCTGATGTCATGGACCGCCATGGCGAACTGATGTCGTCGACGATCGAATCATCTAGCAAGCGGCAATGCAGCATATTCACGAGGCAGTGCGACATACTAGAGCAGGAAGTTGCAGTCCAGAAAGCATACTACGCGACATCCGATGAGACGCAGAGGATGATGTGCCACGCGCTTCTGGAGATCGCTGCCGCCATCCGTGGTCGGTGGGCTACGTAGGGTGCATGGTGTGTGTGTGTGATAGTGTCAGTGTGTGCGGGTGTCCTCCACACAGTTCTATGGGTAGTTGTGTTTAATTTTTTTTTCGTCATCATTTTGGACGGTAGTGCATCGTCTGCGTTTTCATGGCTCCTCAACCAGACAGCCGCGTGTGGAATGGGGTTTGAGGTTCCCGAATTGTGGAGGCAGGGGTTTGGAGTGTGTGTGTGTGTGTGTGTGGTGGGGTGGGGTGGGGGGGGGGGGGGGGGGGGGGGGGGGGGGGGGGGGAGGGGGAGGAAGGGCTTGGGGTGCGGGGGTGTTTGGTGGCTGCGACGGGTGGGAAAGCGATGGGGCGGGCAGGGGTTTGGTCCCTGGCGACTGAATTGACGCGCGTCGCCAGGGACGTCGAAGGGTCTTTTCGTGCCTTCGGGATGGGAAACACACGGCAGTGTGGGCAGGGCGGTCGCACGTGCCACCGTCGACGATGTCATTTCCCGCCAGAAAGAAGCGACGTTGCGGGAGGTCCATCTCCGAAAGACTACTTAAGTCCTGCGCATCCCGACCCGTCTGTATGTCGTCCACGCCGCGAAGGTGTCTCCAGTACAGCAGCCCGCCGCGCCTGCCGCAWGCCGCCCGCAACAACGACGAGGTGCTGCAAGCCTGGTCGCCGCGGATCATTGTGATCGTCGCTCTTGTATTCTTCTCGCCGCCAGTCTTCTCAACGCGGATTACTCTCGCCGTGGCCTTCGTCCTTCTGTGAACCACGCGCACGTCGTCGTCTTCTTCCCACGGAGGACTGATCTCCTGCGTCGAGGGGGTGTTCGTCGTCGTCACGTTTTCTTCTTGCGGAGGACAAATCTCCTGTGTGCCACGTGCACCTCGTCGTCTTCGTCCCGCGGAGGAGAGATCTACTGCGTTGTGTGGATGTCCGTCGTCGTCGCATCTTCCTCCCCCAGAGGACAGATCATCTGTCTGCCACGTGCACGTCGTTGTCGTCACGCCATAGCTGCACGGGAGACCTTTTTCACGGGAGACATATTTTTCACCAGGTCGGCCACACTTCCCGCTCGTCCGATCACACTCCCAAGCTCGCCTTCAAAGGTCGCCACGAAACATGTCTATGCGAGGGAACACCCGTGGGAAGAAGTGCGACGTGGTCGTCGACGATAGTCAAGAGCAGGGAAGAGGGTGGCGGCAGGCCCCGAAAGCGAAGAGGGTGCGTACGGAAGATGCGTTGCCAAGGGTTCGTGGTCGTGGAGCGCAAGGTTGGGCGGGGGAAGTGGAAGGGGACTGTGACGATGAGTTCACGGCGGAGGAGGAGCAGGCGGAGGCGACAACGTCTGAAGTACGCGAGAGCGATCCGCAACGCTCTTCTGATCGCACCGCTTCGAAGAGGATGCAGACCCCTCCACACAAGGCGCAGCAACTGCGTGGCCGTGAAACGCGGACAGAGAAGGCTCCCGTCGTCGATCTTGGCGACGATGATGACGAGCCCTTGGAGAGACGCCGCATTCGCATTCATACGACGGTGACCCCACTGCCGGAGGTCGTCGTGCGGGTTGCTACAAACGATAGGCCAGTCTCGGGTAGGCTGCCCGCCACGCCCTCTCAGCCACGTCAGCGCAACGACGCTGGTAATGGAGGGTCCGTCCAACGTGTTGGCGGGGGGGAAGTCGTGGCAGAAGCTCGTGCAGTTGGCGCCCAGGTGGCAGGTGCCGTGGGGGCGGTTGGTTCAGGCAATGTGGGCGCCGTAGCAACTGGGAGGGAGGACGCAGCAGTTGTGGCGACGGCGAGAGAGGAGGCGCGTGGCGAGAGGAAAGTCGAGCGGGAGGCAGACGAGGCCGGTTCAAGTCGGCCACGAAGGAGTGTCATGACGAAAAACCTCATTGATCGTGCCGTCCTTTGGGTCGATGACAAAGCTTTTTGGACGACGGGGGAGGGGCGAAGACTATACAACATCGTACACGAAACGAAAGACTACTTCGTCGCCATCGCCAGTGGACTTTCAGCGCCTGACGTCCCTCGGAGCGTCGTTCTGCCGAAAGCCAGCACTCGCGTGGCCAGGATCGTCGACCAATCGCAGCTGCAGCAAGCGATCTCCCATGCGGCGTCAGTGGAGAACGTTGCTCTGCGCATCTTGCACGGATGGGTATTCAAGTCCGGAAATTGGCCAAGGGGATACCATGTGGCTTTCCAGTACTCGCTGGAATCCTTTGCGACGGACATTGCGCGTGCCATGTGGTACGGCGAGGAGTGGTGCGAGGTTGTCTGTCCGGCAATTTGCACGCACACGATAGATCTATCCATGGACCTACCGCTTTGGTTCGCCGGCGCCAACATCGAGGACAGACCAGAGGACGACGGCATGGCGGCGCACCAGGAGTCCACCGTCATCGGCGTCGCGTATGCATTCCGCGCGGCCGTGCAAATGGGGGCGCTCATCGACGGCGAGTTCATCTCACACGATCATCTTTCTCGGGTGGCTGATTGCTTCAGGCTGTTGTTGGCGGCGTGCATGTGGATAATGCGCATGGCGGGAGACGATCCGCGCAGCCACTACGAGGCTTTCTACTTCGCGGACCTCGTGGCAAAGCCCACACTCGTCGCGGCCATGCATCGCTCCTTCGATCATCGACGATCCGTCGTCCGCGCCGCGAAAGTCGTCACAGACAGGCTAGGGAAGGCGACCGCTACGTTCGGATAGTACCCCGACTACATACCTCAATGGGCGCCCTGCGGCATTGCTTTCAGGCACGACGCGAGCATAACGGGGCCGGAGGATGCAAAGAAGCTAGATTGGTTGGGTTCGGGTCCCCCTGATGATGACAACAACGACGACGAGAAAGCTGACGCGTAGAGGGGGGGGGGGGAAGGTTGGGGTTGATGGTTGGCTGGGGAGGAAGACGGATGGGATGGGAGCGGAGGTTTGGCTGCTTCTGTGGACTCGCGCGCATGTAGTAGTGGATGGTCGTCATGCGGGAGGATGGGGTTGCACCGACGCAAAGTGCGCACCTGTTTAGTGTGTCGGAGAGAGGGATTCCGCAAGATCGACGTCGGTTGCGCACTTGTTTAGCGCGTCGCCTCTGCCACGAAGTCGGGTTGATAGGTTTGAATGGTTTGTGGTGCGTCGGGGTATAGGTGTGCAGTGTGTCGGTCGTTGTAGTCGACGACGATATCATTCAATGTCGTCGTGTATTGTGTACTTATATTCGCAGCTCGCTGCACGAGAAGTTCATAGCGCTTTCAGCGCACTCTTTTTTTTGTGTGATGTATCCGTTGTTCTCGTGTCTTCTGTCAAGTTCTGTCGAATGATTGCAAGGTGATTGCAGATGATCGACTCCTATGCATGCATGCAATCCATAGTCATCTATGTCTGTTTTTTGTGTTACGCAATTTACTAATGTGAAGCAGCTTGCATCAACAATTGCAAAACACGTCTGTCTGTCGTCCCGCCAGAGAAGCGAACGATAACATGCGCGACTGAAGATTTGAAGAGGCACAGAAAAACAAATGAAAAAGGAGTTGAGGATGCAGAAGAAAAAAAAGAAGAAAACTTCTCACCAAACCGAAACATTCGAGACATGCGATTTGAAGACACAGTCACCGAAAAATAAAAGTACGAAAA